CAAACACTTTCGAAATTACAGATGTAAACGTAATGGGACGGTAGTTGTTGGGGTCGGAAGGGTCGCCGCGTTTTAGGATAGGAAAAATAATGGCATTTTTCCGTGGGGTAGGGAAAGATTTAAGATCTATTGAATAACAGAAAAGGTGGCGTAGAACAGGGGCTAACTCCCGGGCACACATTTTTAGGACGATAGGTGGAATACCGTCCGGATCGTGTGGTTTCCAAACATCCAAACCACGAAGACTTTACTGGACCTTTCTGGTTGTTATGGTAGGTAGAAAGGAGTGATTGGATGTGTGGGAGGGTTAAACAGTAGAGGTGGCAGATAAGGTGGAGTTGGAGACAAACCGGGAAGCGGAGATCTCTGCTTTTTCGTGGGGATCACACACAAGAGTACCAGAGGAATTACAAATGGGAGGAAAGTTGGTAGGGCANATATGCATCCGCTTTAGCGAGGGACCAGAAAGTCCGGATATCGGTGGCGGAAAAAGCCAGTCGCACAGCTTTGTGACAAATGAAGCGTTCTTTAGCTCTGGATAGTGACCGAGCATTTGTTTCTGGCTTGCACGAAGCGGTTGCGCGATGCTGGATTGTGTGAGTGGCGCCAACGACGAAATACTGAGTTTTTAAAACGTACAGCACGGTTGCAAGCATGATTAAACCACTCAGGGGATCGTGGTTTGCCGGGTTTGGAGAAGTGGAATATAAAGATATATACCTTGAAGAACGATCTCCGTGAGGTTTGAAACAGACGTGGAAACATCAGACTTAAAACAACAATCCTTCCAGGGATAACAAGCCAGAAAGTCCCGAAAACCGTCCCAGTTGGCTGAATCGTAACGCCAAAATGTGTCTGGAGTTTGGTGGTCAAATGGAGTGAGAGAAATAAGTGAGAAAGGAAATGAGCCAATGGTCCGATTGGCCTAATGGGGGAAAGGGAAGTGATATTCGGGAAAGAAGAGAAAATGGTTGTGAGAATGAGGTCAAGAGTGTGTGCGTGGTCACCAGTACGATCAGGGATGCGTGTGGGGAATTCAACTAGTTGACCTAGGTTGTTGATCACAGGAAAAGCCTCGGCTTCGCGTGCCATAAAGGTAGTGTTTGACGAGTGCTTCAGCCATTCCTTGTTGTGGACATTGAAATCTCCAACAATGGTGATTTGGCTGTTAGAATCTGCCGCCATTAGTGTTTCAATGTTGGAAGACAGAATATCAAAAAAGAAGAATTACTGCTGTTCGGGGAACGGCAAACAGTACAAAAATAGTGGTTAAGAGAAGGGAATCGGAGATTAAGCCACGTAAGCTAAAATTCACAGTTAAACAAGTCTAAGTGCGAAAGTTGAGAATAAGCGACAGAATGATGAATATAGTCGCAGACACCAACTTTAGAAGGAAAAGAAGAAGAGAGGAAGTCATTAGGGAACTGAAGATAAGTAGTGTCTAACGAGGCGGAGATTCGTGTCTCCGTCAAAAATGAAACCAACGAGGAAAAAGGTTGTATAAAGTGGTGTACAGAATTAACCTTTCGATTTAAACTACGGATGTTAGTGAAGGTTATGGAGTGTTGAGATTTTATAAGTAGAGTGCGCAATATGTGATTTCTGTAGGTCGTATTGTTCACATGTGATGTGAGAGAAGACCGCCTACCCAACCCTGAGACTTGGAGTGGCAAACCACGTAAGGCCTCAATAGGTTGAGCGTGGTAATGAGCCGGGCGACAGCAGGGCAGCCTACCACCTGAGTTTAGGGGTTATCTGAACGAGAGGCAAGTAAAAGCACTTTTCTTAAGGGAGAAGTATATATATTTCAATTTCAGTTTGAACAACCATTAACCATGCCATTTTGTGTGTCGGTTTTGGTTGCTGTCTTGATATAACCTGGGAAGCACTGGATAGCTGTTTCGACCCGTTAGGGTCTCATTAGCAGTGCAAATTCATCCACCCAACTGGCGATCGAACCCGGGACCTCACAGGTAGAACATAACCATACTGCTCACTTGACCTCCGGGCAGCTGATCGGACCGGTTTTTGTTTTGTCTATACATCGTATAGCACAACTCAGCTTTGCAAGCCTGTTGTTAGCGTCAAACAAATGATCAAAAAAAGTGAAGGGAGATGTCCATCTGAAAAAAAACTAGAAAACGACAATATGTGGAATAAGGGGAATGGGTTAAATAACTGACTATTCTTTTACTTCCTTCGTGATCGATTTCCACTTTCCATTTATTTCACGAATCTTATGTGAATGTTGTCGGAAAAGAATTTAGTGATTGGTTGATCCCATAGCGTCTTTGTTTGTTCACTTTTTTCGTAATTTATTCAGCTATCTTCCTGCTCCTTTCAAATTGCTAATCATTTTATGTTTTACCCCTGTTTTCCGTATCTCAGGAACTTCGAGATGTCACTCACAGTGTGCATTACGAAAATTACAGAACCGCCAAACTTTCCGGTATAGCCCAGGAGAGTCATTTTCAAACCAGAGACGGAAAGGATCCCATGTCAATTATGGAAGCAGAAAAGAAGGAGCACGAAGCAAAGATGCGTAAAATGGAAGCAGAGATGGAGGCCGTATTCGAACAGAAGGTGTGTTTCAGCTCTATTTATCATCTTTCCTAAAATCGAATCAATGGCTCATTTCTGTGGCCACTGTTGCACTAATAGGGCCATGATGTCAGAATCGTAAATTGTGAATTCCATTTCGTAAAATGCATCAGATTTTCAAGGATACAGCTAATACCTATTATCAGCAGGAATATTGATTTACTACAGAAACCCGATCCACGAGAAGCATTCAGTAAGTTTCGGGAACTTCAGGCATGACTACTGGTCACCAAAAACAGAAAACGGACATTGCAGTCTGTTAGTAATCTTTTGTTACTTAATTATGGATGTTCATTCATGATTAGCAGCGGCTTGATAACAAACATGGTACCACGGGAATTCATCTGATAAACCAAATAGCATTAGCGCCACGAACTTCTATTATGAGCCATATCTCCCAGCTTCTATAGCCAAAGACATCCCTCATCCATTGAGCCTCAACGAGAAAGGTGGACTGCATCCACCGAAACAAATTTCTTCATTCCCCATGATAGGCCAGGGTCTGATAGCCGTGTCGCTTCCCGCAGCTTTGCCCACCATGTGCAAAGGGAGCGCGAAGAGATAGAGCATGGACATTCATACGAAAAACGTGACCGAGCCACCATATGGGTATAGAATGCTTTCCTTTTTCAGCACTCACGACGACGAACGTCGTCATTGCTCACCCGACGTTCCCACCTGACACGAACAATGCCTCAAAAATATCAGTCGAATACAGAAAGTTGATTGGCATAACATGTAGGGGCCATGTCTCGTAATCGTAAAGCAGAACACTACGAGTCACGGCAATGTACACCTACATTGTGCGGAGGTCGGATAGTATGGCGCTTTCACAAATTGGTTACATCCATGTCAGCTTTCACTTCTCGTGAAATGATCTCTGGATAACACCATCTCCAGTTGCAATCAAGCGCTCGCTGTACCTAACACGGCTATTTCTAGCTGTTTATCACAGAGGGTGACTACCAGTCTTGTACGGGTACTGCATTTGGATGGTACAAAACACATGCAATATCTG